TGACGCTGCATTGTTCAACACACGGAGAAAAATGTTCAGTAAAAATGACGGTACTTACAATTCGCTCACCGATTACGGAACCGACTCAGAAAATTTAAGTGACGGTATCGTAATTTTTTACAGGAAATTAAGATAAAAATTACGGAAAGCTCTGTAAAAATTCCATGACAGCTCCGTAAAACTTCCTACAACCACATTTTGTTCCGAAATTACGGAAAAGATACGTAATTTTTATTAAATATTTCTCTTCGTGCGTCAATGTCGCAGCAATGACTGTATGCAGCAGTTTTATTCTGAAAAGGATGATAATTTCAATGACAAAGATCATTATAGATACTCAACATAATTAACGCCACTTTCAGAATAATCTTTAGCGCGTTATTTTAGCGGATATGAGTAATTCCATTATCCGAGACAGCAAATTGGAAAAATGATAGTACCCCTGGAGTTTAATCAACTCCATGTGGATGAGAAAGAAGTAACATTCAAATTTCACTTGTATATCTATAATGAAAAATACCGAGGTTCATTAGATTCCATGGGACATCAATGAATTGAAGGACCGCCAGGATTGTCAAGGATTATTGAATTCACCAGGACACAATCTACAGTATTGGTTATACAACCCTGGAATGTGTACCCACTGGCTTCTTGGACTTCCGCATACAATCTTAAGACTGTAGCGAAACTATGGGTAACTCAAACTGACGAAGACAACGAGATTAGATGATGGTCGGTTGATGCTAAACTGCAGCATCACACCATAACCACTTCCAAGGTAGTCTATATCCATGAACCGACTATGAAAATGTAGTAGCGCTCATCCGATACACGGAGAGAAGAGCCATGGGAACGAGTCCCATGTCAAATTTACGACTTGTATGTATTTCTAAAATTTAGGAAGCATTACTATGCGATGGTAATGATTCCTGTGGGGTATGGTATTACATACTATGGGCCATGGTAAGTCTCCCGACGGGAATGAAGCCTATGAACATAAGAGAAATTACTATATTGAATAGTACCCTCTACCATGTTACAGGGTAGTGTACTATTAATTATGGTAAAGGGACCCATAGTCGTTTGGTAAAGTTTACCATAGTTTATAGGAGAGATTACCATGCACTATGGTAACATGACCTATATTATATGGTAAAACGTGAAAAAGTCATAAAATGTCACGAATATAAAAGTGGGATATATATTTATATTTAACGTATTTGGTTTCGACGCTATTTCAATAATTAGGGGAGGATGGGGCAAAACGGCCCCCCTTCAATCGTCAATATTTTCCGATTCAATAATCCGATTGGGATGAGTTAGAGCTCGTTTTGAAGAATGAAAAATTATCTTCAAAATGAAGTTGAAACTGGGAATTTTCACAATGTCATTCACAAGTTATTGACAATTGAAGGGGGGCCGTTTT